TTATATATATTTTTATTTGTTGATCAACTGTCTGTTTTATTCAAATGTATTCAATATTTTAGTAATGAATACGTAAGCAACAATTTACCTTGTTTTCGCATGAGTAAAAACGGTATACAATATACGCTGAGATTAGAATAAAACTTGTCTAAATGTGTATAAGTGATTACAATGTTTAAAAAATGTAACAACAACAAAATATAATTATAACAACATACATCAGACGTAAATCGCACTCTCTAGTAGCTAACGATCTAAACACGACCGACATTATTTATTGTTGTACACTATGAACTGGCCACTTCATATTGGTACGTTTAGAACTGGTCTTCGCGGATTACAATTATACAAGTTGGCAAACTTAACATAGGATTCAGCAAGGAGTGTTTTTTATATAGTTCAAAATGGAATTCAATAGTAAGTAGTAACTTCGTCTGCGTGAAAGCACCACAGACATGACGTTCCTATTAGCCATGGGGTTTCGCTCATTCGTTGCCATTTACGATGTAATTATGTATCAAGTAGTTTTAGGTTTGATTATCTTATTATTAATGTATTGATACAGGGTTAGATTAGACGTCAGGATTTGATGAGCTATCGGTATTTGTTTTTATTTCTTTGCTATGGTGATGATGATGATGATGGTACGTCCGCTTGCGTTGAAGATATATACGGGCACCAGTAAAAATGATAAGATGAATATGAGGTCAGTTAACTCATCGTGACCCATTCACCAGGAATTATTAATGGGATTACAACAATGTACCGATTAGTAGTCAGGGTATCATACATTTCTCAGTTTATATAAACTGCATAGATAGTCGATGTGAAGTGATGAAGTGTGTTAAATGAGTTTCAATAGATATGACTGCCAATACAATTTCCGACACAATAAACGCAGTAATTACGTAGGTAGTTACTAATGTATCAAGTCATACGTGTATGTCAATATAATGAGTTCGTTTTCAGAAGTTGCAATGCATTAGTCCACTGAGTTATGAACCGAACAATAATATTCTGTAATTCAATTCAATTCAAAATATCTTTATTCATGTAGGTCTATTACGGACTTATGATATGTCAAATTTATCGTCAGTTCGGAATGATATCGAGATGAGAAGAACTAACAAGAAACTCAGCTTGTATTATTTTAAGATAAATGTTGTACATGTTTACAATAATCCATAGTCATTAAAATTCATAGTTGGGAGAATAGAGTGACCACCAGCATATGCTATCGCAAAGAACAAAAAAATTAATCAGTGTTCGCAACCTGAACATACCAGTCTTCACAAGCACCACCCGTTCACGAGTATTACGGATGAGCCAGCCATCATTGCACTCAACTATATTTGAGAGAGCACATCGACCCGGCCCACCACGCCGCCAAAAGTTTGAACTTTATAGCGAGCATGACTGTTCCAAGTTACTCCACTACGTCAATTATATTATTTACAGCATAGGCTGTACCGATAACAGTTTTCACCCATTACAATATATAATTTGTAATATGTCATTACTAATTTAATATAAGTTTCTTTTATGTTATTACATTATATATGTCAATGGGAAAATCATATACCTCATAACAAAAGTTAAAATTGTAATTAAGTCTACACATTGTAGTAATTTAAGTAGTCGTTTATTTTATAATAAGCTTTAGAGCAAAGTGTATTTTTTAAATGTATCTTAAATTTGCCTTCACTTAAATTTAAAACATTCAGTGAAGGCAAATTTAAGATCATATTCATAATATAGCTGTGGCATGATATTGTTAATGTCTACTAAAATGGAATTATCATTTTTTTAATCTATATAATGAGTTATCAGTTACATCATTAAACCCAAGTATAATACTGTAACTTGATAAAAATTCCATATATTAATATTTACAATATTTGGTACTTTCGTCCTCTTACACCAATTACCATTTAGATGAATATATTTTTATTCAATATAATTTTATACAAGCACTTCCAAAAAATAATTATATATATAAGAACCTTAACAGCATATATTTTCCTGATTCTTTGGTTAAGGAATTTCGCCAGTACAGTTTGATTAACTTTTCTGCCTGTTTTCCTGTGGGATTTATATGCGATTCTCAAATATTGGTCATATTCTTTTTAATCAGAATATCATATTAGAGGTTTCTTAACATCAAATATTGTTTGAGAATTAATTTATGTACGATTGTATATGACGATACGACTTAGAGCATGATGAGTAAGTAGATCAAACTTGAGTGTACGAATTTGAGTGATTAACTTGCCTTCAAATGAGGTGTCAATTTTCAAAGAGACCAATTTTCTAACGGTTACGATAATCAGTACGTGCGTGAGATATATACTATAGTTTATACGACTATATCGATCGCGTTACAAACTGAAATCTGTAAGTACAATATGGCACTTCAAAACTGCCATTACAAATAAGCTCATGTAAGATGTTTGCTTCCTACTTAATATTTATTACTTAAGGAGGACAGTATTACTCCTAGTTTCATTACTCAGTCCCATTTCTAAATGGCCCCATTTTTTAGCGGCAAATGAATGTTTAGTGTCTTATGGGAATAAAAATAAGCTTATATAAAACAGAACAAAAAATGTTTTTAAATAAAGAATTGGTGTAGTGAAAAATATAATAATAATTTAATAATACCAAACGCTGTCTTTCTCGTAAATTACTACAGGAAAGACGAGAGTTAGTATGGAAATGCTGTGAGTCTTTGTTTATGAAGCATTTGCACACGTCGACGACTGTAAAGGGAAGAAGTTGAGATTCACAAAAAATACGAAAGTTAGGTCACAAAAGTGCTTTAAGTTTATTTTAACAAATATTATTTCTATTTCGAAGAGATTATGTATATTTGTAGGACCATTATAATGTAAAAGGGTGTGGTTTGTTCAATCCTCAAAACAATGCGTAAGAAAAATGAGAATGTAATCTGTATTAAGGACTATGTTAATAATTCCTGTATCTTCCGATCTGATAACCGATTGAAAGACATCATACCTACTTCTTGCTAATATTATAAATGCGAAAGTTTATGTATGTTTTGTATGTATATGGTGTGCGCCTTGCTATGTAGATGGAGTATGTACATATTTAGATTAGGTTTAAAAATTATTAAAATTACCAGACTTTCCTCTGGCTTTTTTGAGATCAGCCTGAATACAATATTAGGCTGATCGACAGACATACTTACATATTTATAACATTAGTATGGATTTAAACACTAACATTATAAATGTTAACATGCACATTATGTATCACATTATGTGAAAAAATATTCGTCTCCATTTTCTGAATCAAAATATAATATAGTCTAAAATAAATATATATATATATATATGTATATAAAGTATATGTAAGAGAACCTAATCTAAATTTGTGCATGTTTTGTTAAGTTTTCTTAGATACGAGTACATGGATACAATTTTGAAAGATGTAATACGTATGTATTGGATATAAACGGATTTATATGAGAACGCGATGAGTACGCGTACAAACTTTTTGTGGCAGCTGTTGGTGGAACATTGGGGTGAAATTTTGTAACAAATTTATTATGTTCCCTTCCCGTTTCTCATAACGTAATGTAGATATAGAATTCTTAATGAGCAATAAAAAGTTAAAACCGAAACAAAGGAGGTCCTTTATTTCGGTTTTAACTTTTTTTTTTATAACCTGTTTATTTGGATATAAGGATATATTTCACCTGGTTATGTAGGAAATTCAGGATTTTTTTATATAAAATAAATAGCAAAAAAGTGTATAAAAAGCTATCAGCCAACGCAAAGGTGAGTTGTAACTGTCGCCTATGCACATTAACAGCTCTACTGAGATCATATTATTATGTAATCTTGTTTGTGTCTATATCTCAAGTTAAGACAAGACTTCTTGCGTTGCCACTGCTGTTATATTCTTAAGATTCTATATTATACGGCAGACGTAGGTAATATATAGGGTACCAATACCTTTACTTACTACTGAGGCAAGTTACACAACACACTAACTTTCAATCTCGGTAGCTCCCTGGACTATTGTTTTAATAAATATACAGCGAATCGAAATATAATAGAAGCCTGTACGGCTTCTATTAAACTATTATGTGACTTGCAGAACTATAAATGTTTCCTTTTAGACGAAAATCGAAATCACTTACTTTATTAAGACTTGACATTACAATGTCAAGCGCCTAATACAATATATATTTTGTGTCCAGAAATAATAATGCAATAACTGATAGTAATAATTAAATACAATGATTAAGAAATATTTTAAGACTAAATTTTAGTCCACCTTTGCTATGCTGAATGTATATGTAATATTACTATTATATGAATAGTTACATTTTGTATTTGTTTAGTTTCTCGAATTTACGAATTGTGCTTGAATAACTTACTTGTAGCATAGTAAATGATAGACAATAGGTACAGTCATAAACCGTACTCAATGATACCATGTCATGTCATATAGTCGGTACACTTGTGACACATCCCAGGCGAAACATGTGTTACTTGCTCACATCATCGCATATTTTTTATATTACGTTTACTGGGAATGCTATTGATTAAGTTAATGGCCCGCCTAGGGCTGTGTTGGTAACATTTATGGAATCAAGTATATTTAGATTTGGGAGATTGTATTTACTTTAGAAGCTATAAATAATTTAAGGTTATATGAAAAATAAAGGGGTAAAGTACTATGAAATGGGTACTATGTACTATATACACGCACAAGATTACACCTTTTTTCCAATATGGCAGCAAAGTCAATCTTATATTATATATATATCTCGACAAAACCGCTGGAAAATTGTTTCCAGTAACAAGTTTCGCATTATATGTTATAACGTATGACAATGATTGAACGATAAAAAATAAATTAAGGCTATGAAAGGAACTGTAAAGACATCATTATTCATACACCCTTATTTATATAAGAAGAACTATCTAATACTGATTTTTTTTGTTTTAGGTGTCACAGTATATAATATTACAAGCTCTACGATTTGCCTGAATAACATGAACAAATATTTATTTCAACAAAAATACTAGACAGTTCAGGTGGTCTCATAAAGCGAATAAATATGTCTAACAAATCACAGACTCTTTTGGATATATTCCAAGAAATTCTCGCTGCGTCTGGAAATTCATCGGACAGCAGCATCAATGAAACTCAGATACTATCCATGCTGCGAGAGCAGGCTACGAAGAACGGGGGAAACGATAATTTCGAAACTGTGCTGGTTAAAATGATGAAAGATGTTAAGAGACATCTAAATTTTACCCTGAAACCAGACACGTGTGGGTACTGTGAGGGAGATTTTAGAGATATCATTGAAGCTTACAACGGCATACATGGATATGTAAGTCTATTGGTAAGTGTGCATTATTTACCTATATTTAGAGTAATAATAAATAGACGAGTACCTAGGTGGATCTGCATTAATAGTTCGTTTAGTTACGAAGGGAAACTTCATAAAATTAAAAGAAATATCTGTATAATAAATTATTTTATCGTCATTACACGTCAGGTAGGAAATAGATTTTACAAAACTGGAACGCTGTACAAGCCTAACTGATGAAAGAAGTAACTTATTCGTGTAACTTTCCTTGATGGTGGTAAGACGTATACAATATCAAGAGACGAATAAAGATACATGTCACAAATACATACGAGATAAAAGTAAGATAAAAATATAAATAGAACATATGATATATGTAACTCTATTACCAAATCTGCAAATAAATGAAGTTATTGAAATACTTTATGAATACAATTAAAATATTAAAGTAATCCATTTATTATTGTAAATTATTATTGTAAATTATGAATTATATTGTAAAGTAAAACATAATTCGGTATAATTAATTTATCACAAACTTAAGAAATAATAGTCACATTTTTAATCTAGTTTCTTTACAGAAATTATAGTTAAAAGTGATTTCAGTCCATTGAGTACATGTCATTAATATTTACAATTTATGTTGTGAGCACAAGCTTTATTACAAAACATCGAGATTGTTTTATTTTTTCTCGTGAATATGTGTTAATAAACTTGACACTTGGTGTATAGATGTGAATATTTACCAATTAGGACGAAATTTAATTTAAATATTACCATTTTTTTATTTCATAAGCTATTGCCTATCAATTGTAGATTCTTTTGCAAATTTTGTTCGACGATTTGGAAAAAAATATTATAATTCAAGATCAATGTTGTGTTTACTTGAGTGTGAATACTTTATAAACTGGTAAATATTGTATATGCAGACTGCAAAAAGAGCGAGACTGAGAATCTATCTCATCCGACTGAATTTTACATTTTTAGTAAATGATATTATTTATTGGTATTATTTATAGTAATTCTATTCTTATAAACTTTTCTATAAGTGGTAGGTAAAGACAAAATTAAAAATTAAAAATACCTGTACCATAATTTAAGTAGATAAATTATTTAAAAGAATTTATAATGGCTAATTAGTAGTTTTACCAATCTCTTTGTAAAAGGTTAGATATATTGAATTGACATAAGAATGGAATTGGTTAGACATAAGAAAATATTGCAAAAACGGGAATCTATTAACTACAGTGGATAATAGGGTCGTTAGTTATCTTGGTATTGAGCAAGTTAGTGCAATATTACAGTACTTTTGTTATCTTACTCGAGATCAGGAATCTACAAAAATATAACTTCAAAACTAAACCAATATCCTACACTCGATATCGAAATTCAAAATTTATATTGTATTATAGAGTTTACTATTTCTACAACATACTGGTAACACTGTTTTTTCAAATCACCCACAGTCACTATATAACCACAACACAACGAAACCGTAAACAAAGCTCCAGATCCAACAATTAACGCGCCTAGCTAAGTCAGACTTAAAGCTCAATCAGCGACAAAGCCACTTTAGCTTAGAATTAGAGATTGCGGCTCTCATCTCAAATCAGTATACTAATTAATATAATTAGTATATCTATGTTGTTTACTTGTTCAGAAGATTTTTTTTTTATGGATGATAATGGAATGGTGCACCCACCTGCGCTAACGGTTTACGCTGGTGGGGTACCAGTGGAGGATCAAGATGAGCATAGGTAATTAATATAAATTTATCACGATGGTTTCCAGGGGAACCGCGTGGATCTGACATGGTACATTGCTAGTAATGGGGTCACCACATTGTTCAGAAGATCGTAGACTAATGGTTCACTTTTTGATTAGACCCAAATGTTCTGACGTAGAATCTGGTCGAACCAAAAACTTGTATGTTAATGGATAAATCGGATATATATCTTTGATCAAAAGAATTTGAGAGTCGGCGGCAGGCTCATTCCCTGCCACGTCAAATTCAAAGATTCATTATTAATTTTATAAAGTTGTTTACTGTAAGGTCAATAGTGTCTTAGTAAATAATCAGTTCTTCTGATTATTTAATTATATTTAATCGATTACATTATTCAGCGGATTAGATCTTCTATGTGTCTAAAGATATAGTATTTTATATTTATTTATGATATCCGAAAAGCTGGGTATGTATCAAAGAAGTGAATAACTATTGTCGTAGTAAATGCGTCAAATCCCTCGGTGTTTGTTACGTGAGAAAGGAGTTTCTTTTTTAATATATAGTATAAATAAGTCTAAGCAAACTTAGTCACATTAATAATATAATGTATTCTACCTATATACATTATAGAGTACTCTTTTATTTAATTTAAAACTGAAGAGCATTTGAAAATCTGCACTAATATTCTCATTACATAACAGATTGTAATCAATTTTCATATTAACATACTTAATTTGACGCTTCTAAGGCGAAATATATATTGCGCCACTTTGATCAATATTGAGTTTTAAATATTGTAATTAGTGAAATATATAGGAAGTGGAAAATATAACTTGCGGTGAAAATATAAAACGTAAAGTAATGTTATAATTTCAGTTTTGGATTCTGCGTTTGCAATATTGCAATAATCTGATTAATATATTTTCTTATATGACTCGGATTATTTTATTAATGAACTAGCTACTCGTCTCGGCTTCGCACGGGTGTACATGTATTATACATATAAACCTTCCTCTAGAATCACTCTATCTATTAAAAAACCGCAACAAAGTCCATTGCGTATTTGTAAAGATATAAGCATACATACGGACAGACAGCGACAGCGACTTTATTTTATACTATGTAAAGATGATATGGAATAGCTATATCTATACATATACCATTTTGCACCGCAAGTGCAAATGATATATATGGCATCACTGGAGAATGATAATATGAGAATTAAGAAACTACATTTTTTTTTATACACTAAAGCATTGTACATTATAATACTAAATATTCTACGCCATAAGATACAAAAAAGTATATTTTCGAAAATTTTATATATTAACACCAGCTATAGTTGACTTGCGACTGGACTATCCTAACTGGTATTAGATACTATTATTAAAAAACACCGACAAAATGATACATCAAGAACATTGGTTCATATTCGTTTATAAATAAATAAATAAAAAAAGAGAGGTCTTTATAGTCTACATACATCCACAAGTAACCGAAGTAAATCGTTAGTTAGTAGATATGAATATTTATAATATTCATGTATCACAGAGGTGCTACTAGTCCAGCTCCAATCAATACCGATAATTATGTCAGAGCCCACTAATCTGATTATTATCACATTGCGATAACACCAAGCTCTTATTTTGTACCACAACCTTATTTACCGGCCTCTCAAGAGAATTGTGTAATATGTTTTTCTTGCCTGCTCTCGTTTTGGATTAAAGCGAAGAATAGTTCTAAGAATAGTTAACTCCCTTAAGAAAACAACATTATTATAAACAATGTTTATTTTTAAGATTGCAATATGTACCCATCTGATGCAAAATGATAACGTTCGCTGTGGGCAAAATTGACTTTCTTGTGTTTCGAATTTTAAAGTAACGAACAATACTTAAAAAAAAAACTATACTGTAAACAAAACAAATGTCATCCAAATATTTTCCTGGTCATTTCAAAATAAAATCATTTAATATAAACATCACTCAATACATTACGGCAGGGCGGTGGTATCATACATACCATAGCCCTTTATCGCTTTAACTATTCGTCTAAATTATATGTAGTAAAAAGGCTTTTTGTTTTAAACACTTGAGATGATAAATTTATTTCCTAATTACTTTATTAGCCAATAGATATGAGCTATCGATTTAAGTAATTATTTCACTATAAAAAGCACTACTTTGTTGGTCTTAAATATAAAAGTTAGAAGTACGCTGTCGCTATTCAGACTCTATTGTCATTATGAAGCTGTACTGTATAACCTTTGAGGCATTACGAAGCTCTACAATTTTTATTTAGAACTCTATCATATATGTATCTCTCATCGTTAAGGCAGCGTTTGTAAGAAACGAAACGTATTCTTTCGACTGTTTTTTCTCCCATTTTGCAAATCCAAATAACGCGAACGTATAGCAATAGTATATAATATTCACACTTATGACACTACAAAAAATGGTTTTCTATTTATAAAGTAATTTTTCAAATCTGTTCAGTACAACCAGAACAGAACCTCACTAACATTACCTCTTTATAATATAGATATATTATGAAATACTTAACAAATACAGTATAATATGTATAAATGGACTTGTGATAAAAATATATTTACTATAAATATACACACATGGTTTGGTCGGATTTACATATTGAATTGATGTGTAACGGAAATGTAGCATTTCATTGATTCTGTATTAATACCATTGAGCAAATAAGTCAGTACCTTTTGATCAATACATTTATGATCAAAGATCTTAAAGCCAGACTCTACCTACGTCCTTCAGGGGAAAGCTAAGCATAAAGAAATATTATCCATTTATAAATTTAAATAGGTAAAAAAAGATTATATATATAAAAAAGAATATATATATATCAATAATATAGCAATATGGTTTAATTGATATTTTTAAAATGTCGTTTTTATGCTCCTATAATTTTATTAACATATTAAACGAGAAGGACTTATTTTTAAATAGAATCAACGTCACTGGTCCTGCTTGCGCAATATTTTATTATATTATGCAGATATTTGGAGTAATATTTATATTTCTCTATTTGATTAGTCTATGTCGATAAGTCACAGTATGTATATATTTATAAATATATTGACGATTAATGTATGGCTTAATTTGGTCTAAATGCTCTGAATGAACACAATCGTATTAGTAGTTTGTGTTTATGACTTGCGAGTGGACGTGGCAATGAAAGACAAGCTCAGTATTTAGACTAACTTTTATTGCATCCTTATATTGTATATGTACCCATATAGTCATTAGGTAAACTGTATTTCTATCAAAAGGCCATTCCTAATATCATATATTTTAAATATTAGTATTATACCGTATATAGTATTTAACATATATACTCGTATTATATGTATTAGTACAGGTCAAATAGAGGCTACTCTATATATGTATAATATTGAGAGTTATAATAACAGCAAAATTAGGAGGAATTACTAATGGAACGCAATACTAGTTCATTTGCTAACAATATACCCCCAAAGGCGATTTCCGTGCGTTTGACATTGAGTGGGTCATTGTCGACTATATACGGACCAGGAGTAACCTAAGATTGAAGGTAACGTAGCTTATGTCGAGTCACAACGTGAGTTTCAAGGCATTTGTGGCCCGAATATCCTCGAACATGCTGCCTACCTGCACGAAGCAGGACTACTGGCCGAAGGTGGTGATGTATCGGCGCTACCGTTACTGACTGTCGTCGTTTGTGCTATGACACAGAGACGACTTATATTATCATTATTTCATATGCATGTAGTCTATAAGGTATTTATAATATGGGGCATTAGTAGTCTGAAATATAATTTAAATAAACTTATACGTTCGTATTTTGATTTGATTTTTGGTCAACCGAAAACGGTCTTGGTTAATTCCATGTACATTGGCTTCAATAGGCTAACTGATGATTATAAATGCTCATACTTTCATCCTACATTTTTTCCCATCAGTGCATACCGTTAGTAAGGGTTTACCATTCCATAAAATATATACTCTTTCTAAATAATGCCAATACAAATTCTACTAGTATGGTAACTATTGCCTATAAACGTGTATAACGCCATGGAATATATCCATCACGCCGCCCATTCCGCCCACAATAAGTGCATACTCAGGATAGGTAATGGCGACGCGGTCAAAGATTGTGGAGTAGCTATTTTCAGTAGAAAACATGTTCGTAGCAGTGCGTATGTTACTACGTACACATTGTTGCTCTGATCTTTCTGAAATCAGGTATAGTTAGGACAAAGCATTCTAATATTTTTTTTTTGTTAAAAGCAAAATTTTATTTCTTAGAATGATGAGATACATCAAAATATCTCATTCTTCTGAAAACTAGCATTGGGTATTATAGACAGTAAGCTGGTATCTAGTTTGTTCGCATAGAGTAATTTTATTTATTAATTTATACAATATATAATTTTGAACAATTTATTAAAATGTTGTAAATTTAAAAATGTCTATATTTGAATCATTTGTGATATCTGACAAGAATACATTTTTTTTTTTTTTAATCCATAAATTTGATTATGATACTAGTATTTGATGATAACTTTGAATTTTCTGACATGTTGCCTTTAGCTCTCTACTATATGTGTGAATGATTTGTAATACTAATGTAATAAATGAATTTACTATATGTAATACTAATTCCATTTAGACAGCGCAACGTTAATGTTAATTATTTACAACGTGCTAATATAATTTTCATTGATATTGTATATTATTGAATGTGTGGAACCCTTATAACTTCGTCATGCCTCGCCATCGCCTTTTTAAATTTATAGATGGATGTAGGATATGTCTCATTTCCAAATGTGATATAAATTAATAAATAGATGATGAAACTTAATAAAAAGTACAATATGGCCAGCTTAGTTCACATATAATCAATAACTAATTGTTCAATATTATAATACTTCCTTTAAACGTATCACTTTAAGTACAATAGAGAAAATGTAAAATTTACTAGGTATTACTAGATACAATTTTCAATTAATACGTCTCATATGTAAATAAATAATAACATCCGTATGTATGTTGATATAAATACATGGTCAAATTTCACATTAAAATATTGATGTACATAATTATACTTCAATTAACGGATTCTGTGGTCTAGCGGTTTAGTGCACTCCCTTAACATCCGGTGGTTGTGTACTCGCATAACAACACGCAAACATTTGCATTCATTATTATGTCTGTTTGTTTGGGTCTTATTATATGTATATTATAAATATTATCAGTATCCCTATTACAATTTTTTAGTATGGACTAAGTAGCACTTCATGAGTTATGATGAAGTCTCGTACCCCATCTAAATCCTCAAAAATCGACATACGTTTCTGTTTAATTTCATCTAAATCAATTAATTAATAAACAAGTAGGTATAATCAACACCCATTCCCCCCATCCCCCCCCCCCCCCCCCCAACGACCCCACGGGTCTAATTAGAATCCTGATAACTCATAATTAAAGGATATCCCGGAACATATTCAAATCAAGAATTAGACCCGGAGAGATCATTTACGCAAACCAACATCACTACCATTACGTCAAATGTTATTTATGGAATGAATTCCATTTAATATTATTAGAAATCCTGTCAAATATAATTTAGTACCTTTAAGCATGAATACACTTTGACAGTTTCCATAATCATCTTAAATCTTTTCGTTGAACACGTAAGAGGATTATTGTGAGTAAATTATGTAGAGATATTTTATTTGCCTGCTTATACTATAAATAGTTGGTTTAGAAGTAGTTAAGCTGCTTGATGTTTTAATGGTAAGAAATTCTGAAGAAATATATTGTATAAATGGATTGGTAGACCGCGTGATGGACTATTGTGTGGAAAGTGCCATACTCGCTGACGTCGCTTGTAAATATAGATAACAATACGGGTACCACAAATTATACTGCGGAGCACATGGTACTTATTTTAAGGACTAAGATTTTATGTCTGCACCCAGTAAATCCCTGTTATATATAACCTAAAATTCTTTCATTGGTTTGGAATGTACACTATATCAGAGTGTCATAGTCTATATATTATTTAATTAATACAAAATTCAGAGAATTATGAGCACCCAAGCAAGATCGGGATGTGACACTATTGTACTTATAATCGGGTACAAGAACAGAGACTGTCATAGAACTTTCTCTTCATTTCCTTATAATAGTTATTTGCTCGAACCGAAGGGTCCGGAAACGTGAGCAATATTTTCGGACTGCCTGTCAAAAACATTTGTTTTGTCGTGACTGTTAGTGATAGTGCCTCTTTGTTTACTACATACATTTACTACTCTTATAATTATTATTGTTTAATTCCAGTTCAAGTTATATAATTAGTATTTCTTTTGACTATCTGCAGTGTGTATACAAATATAATATAATATCACAAAACAATTCACTCAACGTCATCATTATATGTACAATTAGTAATGATCACGAGATCTTACCACTATTTCGGCAGTGTTTCAATTGCCATGATCACGGCTAAACTGAAAAGCAGAGTGTAGATGATAAATATATTTTTTATAGGCAGATGCACCTTCACACGTCTTCGTTTGTTGCAACTATTGAAACTCGCTCAATATTCATCTCGGCAAACTATACTCTCTGTATCTTCAGATATATTTAATTTAATACACTTTATGATAATTTTTTTTTTTTTGAAAAAAAAATCACTTTTTTTGTTTTGTTTAATTAAACCAATCATTGGATTCATTGCCGAAATATCGAGAACTTAATAAAAAGAAAACGTGGTAAGATCCCGACATTTTTACTAACTATATGTATAAATAATGACCGCGTCAAATTTAAAACAGTCTACAACGTCATCAAATCGCAAACTAAGTATCTACATAGGTAAATACTCAATAAAACAATCATTTTTATGTTGTTGTTGTATGCGTGTTGGGAGAAATCGAACCCGCGGACGTAAGGTATGTTAAACCACATAGGCTGTAATAATTATATGAGTAATTGTTTCAGGTATGCACTATTGGAGTAATAGCAAATACCATGAATGTGGCCGTGTTGACTCGGAGAGATATGGCGGCGGCACCAATCAACAGACTACTCAAATGGCTTGCGGTCGCCGATGTCTTCGTCATGTTGGAATACGTGCCTTTCGTCATATATAGATATTTGGTAAGCACACGCTAGAATATTCATACTTAAAGCAACTGTATTTCAAACCCCAATGTAAAAAGAGAGATGTAACAAGTTTAATCTGTCTAGTTGCCGGTCTGTGTTTCTGTGGTATCTTAGCTCCTAAACGACGACAAAATCTCTTTTATGATATAGATAGTTCTTTACTACTATTTATGTCATGATCATCAACTCTTTTATTAGTTCTGGTAATGATCTTAGGTGTATAATTACCATTTTATAACATATTAGGTTTATTTTGTATTTGTTATCTTTTATTTAAGGTACGGGTATATAATATACTTTCAAGTATTAGGAACATGGAGTTTTTCTTTTTATTTTCCAAGTCAGTAACTTCATCATGTCTTACTGGAACGCCTTAGGAAATTTCATTACTGTATATAACAGAATATAAATTATAGGTTATATTTTTTCTTATTATGACACAATAATTACCTACAATATGTTATCTAAATATTCCAGAGAAATCACGACCCTGAAAATCACTCTAGGGACTCTGATAAACTTACCTTAGAAAATTGCGGAAAAGGTTTTCTTGAAATCGATAAATTGATTAACGAGGGTCTCAATTAAATTCTATTCCATACAATCCCAATAGAGACATTAGATATACGATGGGTGAGAAGATTATCATCATGTATTTGAAAAATAAGTAGTGATCCTGGTCCTTTCAATGCAAAACTGCATAATAACAAGAATTTAATTTAGATATTTTTAGGTAATTGAAAGTGATTAATAAAGTGACGGCCCACCTGATCGCAAGTGGTAATGGACGTCTATGTATAAGGATAGCACCACGGAATTGACATCATCATGTGATATCCGTGATTTTTCTCGTCCATTACCATTCCGGAGAATTAAGGATATCATATACATACCTATATGTACGCTGTAATTCACTGCCAAAATTTACCCTTCAACCGAATCACATTACAACGACGGCTGAAATAAAGATATCCACGCAAATGACTTTGTACAAAGTCCAATGTACTTTGCGGAATATTTACATATTGCTAAACTGACAGCTTTCATTAAGATAGTTTTCAAAATCATTTTATTAGATACTGAGATTACCCCTACAGCCTCACAAATTTTACCCCTTTATAATGTTAGTATAGCCAATTTAGTTTTAATATCTAACAGCTAAACCCTGTGAGAATTTTTTAACACTATCAAGCTTTTCGTACTCTACTCAAATTTGTTTCAGGTTTTACCAGAGAAATTGGATTTTCCGTACTCATGGGCGATGTATCTTCTATTTCATATGCATTTCGCACAAATACTGCACACCGCCTCCATTTGTTTGACTTTATCTCTCGCCATATGGAGGTATATTGCTATAAAGTAAGTATTTTAAATACAGGTAGATATTTTGCAAGTAAAATGATATACTTTTTTATACATAAAATTAAAATGAACCAGATTGGCGTCTGTTATAAGAAATCATATCATTATCATTTTATCAATACTGTAGGCCCTTAAAATTTAGTGCTTATTTTATAAGAATTAGTTTATAAACAATAATCAGCTAGGCTTAAAAAATATAGTAAGTAGTAACGAATCGAATCAATTTAATTGAATATGGTTGGAGTTTAGCGATATATTTATATAGCATTTTATATTATTTGTATTATCATACTGTACTTATCATGTAAAAGAGAAACGTGCATTATTTTCTATATCACTACACGCAAAGCAATGTTTAATGATAAAAATGTTATCATACCATTTCTAAATGTTGGGCGTTTTACATGAACTCGTCTACATATCATAATATCATATTTTGTTGTATATTATTTAATAAGTGTAAAAATATTGAATAATAAAAGCATGGGAACAACATGAAATAAAGCTGAAAATAACTAGTAAATAATAGTATAATTACTACATAGAATTAACTAGAATGTTACAAAATAGTTATTTGAAACAAATTGGGTATTATAGGGAGGATAAAACTGTAAGCAGTAAATTTTCATTTTAAATATTATTATTATTCTTTGATGGAATTGTTCCGCTTGTATTATGTACTTTTCTAAAATAATAAACGTTATTATTGTATTGGCTATAAACAAGCGACTACAGAAAAACATTAACTTTGAAACTGTCTTTCATGGTAATATCATAACTAATCCGTTATCGTTCCACTGTTGCATGCATGGGCCCTTGTTCATTATAAAAATATTTGTTTATTATTGTGATATTGTTTCTACGTTGGCCAGATGTCTTGGCATAGGAGTTATTCTAAGTTTCCCTTTCTTTTTCTTCAAGGTTCATTATAGGAACAATAAAAAAGCCAATAATAAATAATTATTATCATAAGTATAATTTAATTTGCCGTCAGAGGTTGTGGCTTCTTATTACGTTATAGTGATTACAATACTCAATTTTGGTATATTTTATATCTATTATATAATGTTTCATAGTAAATATGTCGTGTGTGAACATCAGGTATATACATATTTCTCTTAATCAAAGGACATTTTATTTTACCTCTGACTGTTGATATATAGTCTTACTGATATATGTCGTTTGTTATGTAGAAACGTGATATTTATAAACTATTCAAATGATTGACATCATGGATTCCTTTTTCGCTTTTTTTAAGTTCACGAACGAATAATTTCTTTATACGCCTTGACCTTTTTCCGTCGTAGGCGTCATTAAACGAAAATTCAATGTTCAATATTTCCATATCATAAAGTATCAATGTAAAGGAATTGATGGCCCTATTATCTAACATTTACGCCTTTCAGTTTTGGCACGTTCCTGTATTTGTTTAAAAGAAAAAATAAATTTTTATTACAATAATAATACATTGAAATTGTCTTTCCACAGACAATGAAATAGAAAAAGTTATGAAGTGCCAATGATACTGCCAGTGTCTCAAGAGTTAAAAAATATTTATTCGAAGTGCTTGGAACTCTATATTATTTACGGGCTTAAGTAATGATTTGGGTTTTATTAAAACTTAATTTGATAGAATTCTGTAATGAACCAAACTTTGGTTATTCAACATTCATAGCAGAATTTTTTCTCAATTCTTAATAAATCCAACGTTAATAATAAGTTTCGAACTGTTAATTTGTACTACTCAAAGTATATACTTATTGAGTATAAATTCTAATTAATTTTTCTTTTGATAAATATAAGTGTACAATATACTATTATGCCTAGATGACGACATCGGTGGTCTAGTAGTTTAGCACACCGCCTTACTTCCGATGGTCGCGGGTACGATTCATCGCACGGCACAAACATTTATATTCATGAGTATGATTGTTTGTATCTGTCTGAATATTTGATTATTTATGAAAAAAAAATATATCTATGTATTTGTATCAGTTATCTAATACCCATTACACAGGCTCTGCTTAGCTTGGGACTAGATGACGTTGTGTGAATTGTCCAGCGATATTATTACTATTAAAATTCTGTCTGTTATTTTCCTTTTTTAATCTTAATGTGTATGCGAATATTTTACAAAGCATTGTATCTATCTAATGAGGTTTTTTCTTACAGATATTCAGATAGAAGCCATATTTTGTGTACAGAAAGACGTTGCAGTATAGCCATACTAACTAGTTTCATACTACCACCGATACTATGCACGCCTACGTTTATGGTAAGTTTCTTATACTTAATATTAAAATTATGAAGTTCCTATATTGATTACATTTTTAAATAAATAAAAAATACTCATTATAACACTACCAGAGGCGTTGTCAATTGCCAATATAGTAGTCATAAAACTTGACTCACTAATAGGTATATATGTAACTAAGCATATTAGATTTCAAGGTGGCATTGAATTTGGTTTGTTATTGATATATTCTATCACTTAAAAGTTAACTTAATAGCTAAGTAAATTATTATAACTAAAGGTAATTATTTTTAAAAAGGAATATATATGTTGGTTCAAACTGGCAAAGGATAAATAAATAAAATGAATACCTACATATATAATCTACGACAAACTCTTCCGACTTCTTGACGACATCTTGTTAACAGTTCATGTTTATGAAATAAAAAGAAATGTAAAGCAATGCAGCTATTTAAATTTGTAATCAGAGAGACATGAAATTTACATTATTTGAAGCATGCAAATATTTTTTGTTTTCAATGCATACCATGTTAAAAATCGTACCACGACTCTTGTCGTGACGACGTCTGTTTTCCATACAGTGTCAATTTACATCGAATACCTAAATCGGTTCTTTGTTTACAGGTCTTTGATATTCATACAACGAATGTTACGGATGTTCACGGCAATCCCGACATAGTATACCATGTCGATTCAGACTATCAAGGTACACTGTATCAGGCTAACTTTTGGGTACATGCTGTTGTAATTAAACTACTACCATGTTCAATCCTAACAGTTATCAGTATATGGCTCATAAGAGCTTTGTATAGTGCGAATAGACATCAAAAGAATTTGAGGAATTACAGCGCTTGTCCCGCCGCAGAGAAAATGGTTAAAAGACAAAACAAAGCAGACAAAAGAACTGATAGGACAACAAAGATGTTACTTGCCGTCTTACTGCTCTTTCTTGTGACTGAACTGCCACAAGGAATCTTGGGGCTGATGAGTGGATTGCTGGGTTGGTGTTTCTTCAAAAGATGCTACGATTTGTTTGGGGAGTTGATGGACTTCCTTGCGCTGCTGAATGGAGCTATCAACTTTATACTCTACTGTTCTATGTCCAGACAATTCAGACAAACCTTTAGACAGATGTTATTGCAGCCACCCTTAGCTCGATTTATGCCTCCAACCTTGTCACACTCAGATTCGCACAATCAGAATACGTACGTATCTTTAACAATACAAATTTAAGTTCTTTCTAAAACACGCTTTCTAATCAGTCACTGTACTCAGCATGTTTCAACTGTAATTTATATACATATATATAATACAATGCTGCTTTTAATTGCACGTAGGGAAGTACCTACATTCGTAAAGAACACGACGGGTATCGTAATTTAACTATGGAGTCATAATTATTTTCCTCCCTGCAGGTGCACGGAAAAGGTTAAAAGATAACTACAGCAAAACTTCAATATAAATATGAATGTGAGTAATGTAACGCTGTTTAGTTTATAACGTTACACATAAATAATATTAATGCTCCGTAATTCACAACTTTCTCTTTCGCCTACATCTATCCACATTAAAACACCAAAGTAAATAGGAGATATGCCTATCGGGAATAAATTATATTTTAGTATTATGGTGTTCTATATAAATCCTTGGTGAACATAATATTTACCGAATATGAGTTTTCAAGTTGAGGTTTCAAGAATTGAGAAATAGTATTCCAAACATTAATAATTACATACGAGAAATATTAAGCTACAAGATTATTATTACTTTGTTTCTTCAGCAACACAATACTTAAATTTAATATACATTTATATACATACATAACTAACAAGTTCATGTCCTGAAAAGATTTACATAAAATTTACTTCGGTCTGTTTTAATATTATTCGTGATTGTCCTGCTTTAATTCTTTCTAATCAGCTGTTTATCTGTTTCATGTGTTTATTATAAGTACAACAAATAGACATATTCAGTATTTAACACAATTATTACGAGCTGTAATGTGATTGTGAGAGAGTGCTTTTTGGGGGTGTTTTGTGGGCACCGTCTTTATGAGAACGGAAGTAAAACGTAACAACCTGTAATGATTCTAAAAAAATTAAATACAATAATTTGTCCTAGTGAGGTTGACTTTCGATAAATAACATTTGCATTGCATGCAATTCCTCTAATATGGCTTGATATTATTTAGAAACTCCTTTAATATTATATTTAAATATTACTTTCTATTCATACAAAGTAATATCTACATCTACAATCATAATATGAAACAAAATACTTTCCATTTGTCATGTCACTATCTACGATTGTTACCTTAATGGTAATGATCACATATCTAAATAAAAATTGTTTTACTATAGAATTTTGTCTGACCGATCTTTGTTTTATTATAATTGGAATGGTAAACATTCTGACGTTTCGCCTGATAGTAAGTGGCAACCGTTGCCTGTATACATGAAAAATACCACGAATATCAAATCTATACCAATCAAATATCATGTCATCATATGACGCTCCACGGGCAACGGGCTTCCACATTAAGACAGAGCCTTAAGAATCTATTCATACAATAGTCCATACTAATCGAAAGAACATAGTAAACTAGATTAATATAAAAAATCTTTTGTTTAGGTACTGTTATATAATATATGAACTAGTAAGTAATAATTTTTGGGTTTTTTACATGTTGGGCTTTAATGGAACTGTTTACCAGCATTATTTCTGAAAACTACCCACTATCTTTTAAATAATAATATACTTTCACAATAACATTCCCAAATGGAGAAATAAAATGCATTTTCAGCTGTTGACATCGTAGTGAACGTTACATTTGATATGCTCACATTTCGCTGAGTAAATTTGAAACATGGCGGGGACCAAGCGACTCTTATATCTTGGTTTAACTTTTTCTATTATTAGAGTTTCCAGTACTAGAGGGACGATCTAAAATGTCAATTCTCAGACAAAGTTTTTGTTTTCGATTAATTTCGAATTCGACCTTTAGGTTAGTAATAACGACAATGCTTTTGACTCAAATCTATGTGTTATATATTTTGTAAGTATTAATTTAATACTTAAAAATATATATAAAATATAGATTTAAGTATGAAAGATAAATAAAGAAGAATTAATAATAATGTGAAATTGCTTTCTAATATGTAGACTGCGTGACATAAAATCCTTGAATTAAATTAAATTCCATACAAGGGTTGATCTCATTTTGAATCTTGCAGACTTAGCGAATATTAATTAAAGTAAGATATTTTGCTGTCACTCTAGATTGTTTGTATTGTTAATATTTGTATAGAGAAAGCTTGAGGAAAACAATGTAAATACAAAATGTGCGGGTTTCAGCTAAATTACTCTTGTATCACATATACTCGTATAATTGTAAGTAAATATATTAGTTATAACAGTTATTTACGGAGGAGTTTAGGTATTAGTGGTCAGAACCAGTACCAATACATGATGGAGTATGACCAGCATTGATCGTGTTTATGATTGTTGACTGTTTAGTCATAGCGGTCAGATATAACAGATATATGAACAAAAATGATGTGTGATAAAAATGACCGATCGCACTAATATATTTTAGCACGTACCACTGTTTAACAAGTTGAGTGCGTAATTAATGCCAGCTTTAGATTTCATTCCAAGCTTTACACTTTATTTAATTAGTTGCTAGATAGAAACAACAATAAAGTAACGGTCGAGACAACAGCTTCTAGTTGAAACTTGAAGTTTATCTTGTAATAGGGCGCAAGGAAAATAAATAATTAAGATGCAGTTGCTCTCTGGTCTTGTTTAAGATTTCCTATGTCGACAATAAATATTTTTAAACTAGTTGTGTTCACTTTTTTCATTATCGTGATATTGGAAATAATAATAAAAATAACATATAGGTATAACATTGTAGTTTCCACACATTAACCAGAATCTTAATAAGACATTGAACAATAAATCAATGAAACCACATTTAAATCAAATCGGTAAGGTATTACTGAGATTAACGTGAACAAACCAAAAACGAAGTGATAAATATTCTTGACTATTTCTTTGACGTCGGTAATATATAAATATATTTTTGAAAAATATATTTAATTTACAGATACGGCTCATTATTATTTTATTATGTTATGTACAGTAATTAGATATATTATTTTTAACTTACATTTATGGTATATATTACTCTATAACTATTCGTTTGAGTAAATGTTCTCTTGTAATATTTGATCTCAACATCAACTAAATAATTAGTTTATTACCCTGTGGACCCTTGTCCGTGTACGATGTGTGTACGAGTGTACGAACAAATATAGCTCTTTACAATATATTAGATTAAGTTTCAATTTACCGGAAAATACCTATCCGAATTTACACATTTTACATTACTAAAAATTTATATCAAATCAAAACAAATTTATTTTCGATAAACATACATACATAAATTGTCATTATAGAAATAATGTCCATTATATTTTGCCTCTTTAGGCATGTTTAAATTTAAATTTAAAGAATTGCTAGATTATACTAGATATTACGTGACAGTGATTGCTAATTACATATATTTTAAGGAAGTGGTAAGTGTATAGAAACATTTTTTTTTGTTTCAGCGCAAAGACATCCATACCTTGAGGGTGACGTAAACAGCGCAGAGCTGTTCCAGCAAATTGTGAACATTTTCTGTAATGTCTTAGCTAGACACCAAAGACATGCAAACGAGGGAAAGACTTTGAATTTGTATGTGTTAATACTGTGAAAATTAAGCTTCATTGTCGTAATTAGATAGATAAAATGTTATTTAAAGAAATGGTATATTTTATTAGGGTCGCTATGAGATTACAGTAGTTTTAAAAATAAAACTGTATTCAAGACTGCAATCCTGATTTGGTAGTCAGGGCATAGTCAAAGATATATTACTTGATTGTAGCTTTATTATGGTGAACATATTGCCCTCATTTCATCGAGGACATAAGAATTAATTTTAGCTTGTAATACTTTGTACTTGTAGCTCAGCATCTGCGAATAGGGCAGGATGCAGCTACTGAATGTGCTAATTCTGACGATTAATCGAATGTATGTTACCAGCCTAAGCAGCGGGTAGCGACGAGGCGAAACGTGGGCGAGATAAGATTTGGGCTTACATAGTTTATTAACGGTATTTATCCGTTCAGAAAGTATCATACTTTAAAAGTATTTCTTGGCGAATGATTCCTGGTACCACGTTAAATAAAAAAAAAATTACTTAGCTAATCGGTAGATACTATATAGCCTAATATGTATTTTAGAGATTGATAAATAACAAGATAGTAAATAAATACAATGTTATGTTAATCAAACACGTGTCTTGTTTACAATTCATTTTGTAATGGAGACAACCTTGTGTGCTGTATTGTACCGGTGTACATTTGAGTACACACATTTGGCTTAAACTGATGGAGTACAGGGAAATTTACTTTGTGCATGACACAGAGATTCTATAGAAATAATCCATTTTATTTGATTACACAGGTTGCTATTGGCAACGCATATTGAGTTACTCTCGTTTCCATTCGTTATTTATATTATCATTCACTCGCTTTATTCCGTTAACGATTATGTATTATTTTGTTTAGTTTGTAGAAATAGTTTAACATTAGAATCATATAATTTATAATGATATAATTTCTACTTAATTCTCTAGTTACAAGAGAAAGTTCTTAATTTGACATTATTTTTTTGTATAAATTAAAATATCCATTCTATATATTCTATTTTTAAAAAATAGAGGCGTGTCATATGTGACGAAACGAAAGTATAAAATAAAAATCGGTTTTATTATGAAATTATACGTTAAATAAATATACAATATTTTCTATTCAAGGACCACATACAGAAGACTATAATACATTATGTACAGTATAAATAAATGGAATTTGTACTAAGATCTTGTATCCAAAATATAATAATTCTTCCGATTTAAAAATAATTCGATTATTCATAGAATATCTACTAACAAATCTGACTTTTGAAAACAGTTCACATAAAAGCTATTGTAATCAATTTTATTTACCAAAAACATCAATGTTCCAATTATATTAGTTTATAAAATACCTATATTAACTTGGTCTGATGAATGACACAATTGTTTAGATTAATTACTTTATTACTACTTACTTCTTTATCAACAGATTTAAACATATTAAATGTGATGTTAATTAAGATTTAAACAAATTTTAATAGCCTGTCTTAACTTCAATAAAATATATTTCTAGTTAATATAATGTAAAGGTAACTGCTGTGTAATTTAAGATAAGTAGAAATAAATGACTCCGAATGAAAACTAGATAATATATTTATAAAAACGTCTTTATGTGTGATTATATAAGTGTAATTTACTTAGCTTTTAGTTGATTAATCATTGCAAAACCTTGCAAAATTATGACATCTTAACACGTTTTGTACAGGTACTATAATAAAGCATTATTAAACAAACCATCTATTAGGCGAATTACCTATTGGCGAACAATACAATAAATCTAATACGCCGTAGTCAAATATTGATGTTATATTTGTTTGTAAATAGTATATTAAATGTGTAGAGTTAAATAAAGACATATATAATCTGAGTATACCTGGAAATATAATTGATGACATTTAATGAATAAATAAATTTAATTCACTCATTTCTTAAACTTGTATATATTTGGTATAGTCTTGTACCTATTTGGTATATTAGCAGCATTAACTATTTAATAGACTGCCATATTTTTGCAGACTGATTTATTTGAAATGTTATTTCAATTTAGATGAATCGAAATGTAAACTAATAATAAAAACATGAAAAATATGTATTGAAAATATAAAATACAGTCCTATTATTACACAGGTTTTCTCTTCATTCATTAATTTAAAGTATGGGAAATAATCGTCTAACAGCACATGCTCTGCTTAGTACGTGTTCGTGCCCATTCATAAAAGACGGGATTCGTAATAATTTTAAATTGTATTTTGCTGGTGGACATTCCACCTGAATATTTATTCATTCGAAACTTATAAATAATTTTGTATATGAACTACACAATTTGTGGAAATATTTGTAAATATACTTTGTTTCTTTTATTTTATATGTTATTTGGATTATCTAATAATTATTAATTAATCTAATCTTATTCATTATAAATTGGAGCCTCTAATTTTTTAATAGAATATTATATTTTAAGTGCTTTCACTAAAATTATACATTTGTGTAAATAGACTGACAGAATATATGTACGATATATGTTAAACAGTCATGATGTGTAAATATTATTGATTTTTTATTTAAACAATAAAGTGAATTTGTACGTGTCTTTATTATTTCTTTTACCATTACCCTTGTCGATTTGTTTTGTTTAGATGTTTATTTTTTAATTGAAATTAGTGTGATATATATATGAATTATGGATGTTCTTTCAAGAAAACTTTCTTATTTTAAATTGATTGAAATTAGAGATAAACTATTCACAATTCATTTGCCAGTTTTCCAACTAACTAACTAACTCGAATAAACCAAGTTGCAACTGTAGTAGTAAAATACATACATTTATTTTGTTTAATCATTTTTAAAATGAAATAACTCAAAAAGTGTATATTATTTCTATGCGAACTAAGATGATATCGGTACACAAAGTACCTATATCATCTTGAAAATTATCTATATCCATTGCATATAAAATCTAAAATATAATTAGTAATAATATATTATCAATGAAGAGACGTCAAAACTTGATTTTAGATGACGAGTTTACAGTCATAAATTAGGGGAAGATAAATGGAGTCCGCAAACTGCCTCCTTTGTGAGAAGAATACCAAGGGATCAAATTAAGAGCAATATTTATTATGTCCCTGGGAAGGTTAGTGACGAGGTCCAGTTTTTATAAGTATGTCAAGCTCGGAAACTTCATTGTTTATATGATGCAACAACTATAGTTGTACTTTTTTATATCTAGATTGTCCTTGTTTTCAGTAATTTCTTATCCAGTAGATTAACATGGTCAGACAAAGGTGATTCTGTCTGTCGAAAGCAAAATTCCTTTACTATATTAACTATATGCTAACTTGCCCTTGTGCGTTATGGAATTTAATTTTCTATTTATGTTGAAACAAAAACGTACGTTTGGGATTGGTTAAAATTTGCGTAGGCGTTTCTAATTACTCATTTCCAATTATGTGTACTATGGCAAACAGATTACTATGACCATTTAGATATTGGAGTCGAATGTAACAAGAAATAATTATACTAGGTGGTGTTATTATAACTGGGTATATGATAATCTTTTCTTATAGACAGTGTACTATCTACAACACTGTATTAAAATATTTCTCAGTTATTAGTTACAGTGTCAGTTTTATGTTGCGAACTAGTATCTACGTGTTAGAAGAATAAAGTATATGTATAAATATACCTATGTCAGATACTAGAAATATTCGAACATAGTTAAAAAATTACAAAAAGGAAATATGCGGGCGTAGCATTCGTTCTCGATTTTTTTATAACAGAAGAGGGATCTCTCTCTCTCTAATAAATTAATGAATAAGAATTCTTGGCACTAAATTAAAAAAATCTTACGTTCGCAGTTTTGATACTGACAGCCTTGTTATTTGAATTTTGTCGCTTAATATCATATTGACGATCCTATATCCTAGGATCTATATGAGCTGACAAATGCAGTGTCACGATTTTAATATAGGTTTAAGTTATAAACAGTGTACCTACAAAACCGAAGTTATCTGTGAACTACCTTATACCTTCACCAAGAATCTACTTAGGTTCTTGGAGAAGGTGGTTCAATTACTTGGTGAAGGTGGTACAGTATTGTCCACTTAGACACTAAATAAAAATAGAAAATTAACGAAATCGATCACCAGTTCGAAATGACTAGTTACTGATGAAGTTTTTTAAAAAAATATATAATATCTTCTATTTTCCATATTGTTTCTTTGGGAAAGATATTCAGTGACACGAATACTATCACTGACTGTAGGGTTGATATACCTTTTATGACTATCCTAAACATGCTACATGATATGAAATATTAGTTTTATAAAATTTCTTGCGATCCTCTTTGGCTTGGTCTGGGTCCATTACAAGTCTTTAAAATTCTCGGCTTTTCTGTACTAGTACGCATATAGTATTTGTACACATAAATCGTCATCCTGAGTCAGTCTACCTATTGCTTTAAAATGCATTCAAACTCGTAATGTAATATAAACTATTTAAGTTTTATTATTCTGAGAATATTATACTATTCTTTGAAAATATCGATGTACAGGATACATTAAAGTAGTGAAGAGAAATTAGGAATCTAGTTACTATATGAGATGCAAAAGCAAGGAAAGACAGATCATACGTGATTGAGTAGAAAACATAAATGACTCTCATATTATTATTTCAGAAACTAAGATAGATTTAATTTCCATGGAAACGTAACATACGATATACAATCGATTTATTGTAGATACGATAATAGATACGTCTTCTTAGAGCTAGTAAATACCTAAACTAAAATTATTTGTTAAACGATACCGAATATGACTTTGATGTTATGAAAGGTTATGTTAAATGGGCATTCATAGTGCCGTCTCAATTAATTGAAATTGTTTGTACTTATACACCTACATCAAAATTTCCTCCTAACTTAATTAATAATTCATTTTATGATCCTAACAACTGTATCAAAGCTCTTGGCTATGAAAGGTTCACACGTTCGTGATTCTCAACATATAATTCATTGATGATCAAGGATTTCTATTTGTGTGTTTTTAACTTCATTAATTTTTACATTGATATACAAATTTCTATTCATGTTCAAATAATGTGGCGACTGCTATTGCAGTCGCAACATTATTTGAACATGAATAGTATAATATTTTTTTCATATAGTATTCTATATGAAAAAAATATCCAAATTATGTTGAATCAGGTACAGGTATATGTATAATGACATTATGAATAGCGAATAACAACAAAAATCATCATTATCTCAACTACACTATGAATTCTGAAATTTCTAATTCTCTAATATTGAAACTAAATTTTTACGCATTGTAAGTACCGTATATTGAAATGTCGTTGTTGCAGCATTAATGAAACAACGCGGTGCTGACTGTACCCATATTGAAAAATAAATCATGGTCTTAACACTAATTATTAAACTACCTGTATAGAAGGGTATTTATTTTTAATTGCATCAATCTTTTAAATCTCTAATCTTTAAATGCAACGGAACGACATGAACGAGTCATATTTACATTATTAGAATTGACAATTTGTATGAAACAAATTATAAAATTAAGATAATATTAAATGTGGGTTATATATATTTCTAGAATAGCAACGTACATATCGCACACTTATTATAATACTGCCTTAGCTCAAAAATTACAAATTTTGGAAAGTCCACTTCATAAGTGTGGATTCAAAGTATAATTTCAAAAATTTAAAATTATCTGCAGTACACCAATATTGTACTAAATATCCGATATGTGTATAGTGGTACCGCGGCCGTCATGTAACGTTTAATAAGATAATGTGCATGATGCTGTTTATGTATATAGCCAATCTTTAGTATTTATCCTCAGGAAGACAGCCTTGTTTGCCAGTTCAGCTACAATAATAATAATAATAAAATATATATATAACAAAAAAATGAGAGAAGACTGTATTTGGTAAGAATTAAAGTTTTGTGACTGTGTCTTGATATTCTTCATCATATTTGTATATAATAGAACATTTATCGTCCTTTTCTTTTTTTTGTGCTTTTCTAAATGTATTATTTGGGAATAAGTCAAAACTATACAAATAAAAAATATACTTTTTAAACTTTGTAATTTGTAATTGTTTGACACATAAACTAGAAAGTTCAGAAAAAAGCAATGAATTATTTATTTCAATGCAGACGTTTATTATTCAATCAAGCATATTTTCCCTTGATTATATTGTAAACGACAAACATTCAGACTTAAAATTGAAGTTAAACGAAATAAATATAAATACAAACTGGAACTCATTTAAACTTTTTCAAATGGGCTCGTTTACTAACTTTTTAATCGTAATATTTTATTATTGTTCTATTTTTTCAACCAACTTGAAAAAGAACGCTTTAATTCATCTGTACTTTTATATATATATATGGCACTATTTTGAAAATGTTGTATGGGCTTTCTATTCTTTTTACAAACTGACATTGGGTCTATACTGACAGTATCACGTTATAATACAATTATGTGTAGTGTAATATTTTTATGGAACATAATTATTACATTTACGATTTCACAAACAAAGTTCATTCTCTCTGTCGACTGTGCTCATAAAGTTTTATTTGTAAGGTAATTATAATAACATTTGGTCCCCATAGAGTAAGTTGTTGACGTCATTCATTGGTTTAGTCGAATTATTGGAACAGTCGACGAAAAACTCAAATAAACTATGCGTTATAATTGAAAGGATACAAGTTTGTAGTATGAGTAATATTTATGTGTATGTTCACTGATTTAATTGTTTAAAGGTTAGATAGACAGAACAACCAAATTTTCAAAAATTAGGGTTGAATATTTTTTGTGATTA